ATATTTTGATTTTAGCCCATAAAATTTGAAATTAGTAATTTTGATCTCTGCAATTTGATGTCATTTTGATCTACCTAAAGATTTTTTTGTCTCTGAAACAAAAACAGAGAGGGAATTTTTGTGCTATACCTAATAAAACACTTGATAGTCTTTAAACATGAAAGAGATGTGCTGCCAAACAACATTCCTAGTTGCAACTTTCATGTTTTGTGGGTACAGGACGGGCGAATAAGCTATGAGGAGTTTGTGGCAATGATGAAACAGGAACTGACTGGAGAAAAGCATCGAGACAGTATTCAATAGAGAGATTCAAGAGCCTGAGTCTAAATCTGATGAAGGACGGTTCACTTCAGCTTCATGATGGGATTAGTGGCCAATCAGTGGTTGTTTGAGTGAAAAAAGTTACTGTCCATTTGCTTTTGCTTACCTGGCTGGCCCCTCCATTTTCCTCCTCCACCCCTTTTTTCTTCCTTTTCCCGCCACTGTCTATGCTTCAAAGTTATGGCTGGCTCCTATATTTCTCCCACAAAGCAAGGATTTCATCCTCTCAAAGTGTAAAGTGTGTTTAAAGTCAAGTAGAGAGCAAAAGTGGATGGGAGTGAAACGGGGAGGAGTTTTCATATGCACCCACGCGCTTTCTCTGTCACTCTACCCTTTTTTTAATAAAAATTTTATTTTCATTTTAAATTAAAGAGCCGGATGCTTATAATATAAAATTACAAATATGATCAAACCCGTAATTTCTCTAACCAAAAAAAGAAGAAAATCCCATAATCTTTTGCTTACCGAAAAACATGCCTATCTTTTTCATTAAAAATGCACTTCCATGATGATCAGGTCCGTTTGATCATCATCGTTGTTTTCAGTCAATGGCACTGAGATTTGAATCCAAGAGAAGGGATTGTGTGCATGGTGAATAAATATTTAATCAAATATTAATCATTTTGAAGTTATATCATGGTTTATATGCTTTGAAAATAAATATAGTATAAATTTTATATTATCACCATCAATATAATATATACACAATTAAAATTGTTTGTCACTATTTATTACTCTTCCAGTCCTTAATATAAGATTTATTTAACTAATTTGATTAGATTAAGAAAGTTAGGTAAGTTAGTTAATTATAATAAATATGACATGTTTTTTTTAAAATATCATAATCATCTTCTTTAATATTCTCCTCTCTTTTCTACTTGATTATAGTTGAGGAAGTATTCATAGGGGTAATTTAGAAAAAATTAATAAATATGAGAAATAGATCTTATATTTAAAACTAAAATCAACTCAACAATTAGATCTTATATTAAGGATTGGAGGAGTATTACTTTATTAGCTATTGATGTCATATCATCAATATTCCACATATGTGTTTATGAACAAATGTGATAAAGTTTCCAGTAATTGTGTTTGGTTCATTCTTTATTGCGTAAAAATTGCGTTCATTTCACATAAAAAAATATACTACCTCATATCCTTAGCATAAAAACATCTATTAAATATAAGGGATTTCCATATTTATTATAATTAACCAAATTAACTATTTTTTTAAGTCTTTAAATTAATTACCTAGTTCTTATGTTAAGGATGGAAGTAGGATATTACTCTTGATTAAAATGATTTTTTGAATAATTAAATAATATGTTTATTAAAAAGTTAAGTAAATAATATTTGTCTTTTCAAAAATATTTACTTTATTCTCCCTTATTTTCTTTTATTTTCTTTCTCTGCTACCATAAGTAAGACTACGTACTGCAACTTGAGTCTTAGTCACGGGCCGATAAAACGAATAAGAAGGAAATGTGGCCCAAACATTTTTTTTGAAAAAAATAAGCGGCCCAAATATGAATCCATGACGTTGAAGATTTCCTTCCTGTCCTCCGACAACACGTCGGAGTAGTTCCCCGCACGTTATTTTCCCTTCATAATAGCTTTGGGAACGGCAATGGGACCCCCATATGATGAAGCTCCTTCTTCCATCAGCCTGTCGTTCTAACCGTCAGATCCACGGTATTCACTCCGTCTTTCCTCTCCTTTTCCCTTCTAACGGTCCCCTTTTCTTCTGCTCAATCGTTGGCCGCTGTTGCCGTCGGCGGGCTCTCACTTTGTTAACGGAACTTCTACTCGTTTTCATACCCCAAGCTTACCTATTGATATAAGAGGAAAGAGGGAGAGAGACTCACTTGTTCATATCCCTACGCTCGCGGATGGGCATGGACTACTATAACATACTGAAAGTGAATCGGAATGCGAGTGAGGACGATTTGAGGAAGGCCTACAAGAGGCTAGCGATGATTTGGCACCCAGACAAAAACCCAGTTAATAAGAGGGAAGCCGAGGCCAAATTCAAGCAAATTTCTGAAGCCTACGACGTTTTGAGCGATCCCCAAAAGCGTCAGATCTATGATCTCTATGGCGAGGAGGCTCTCAAGTCTGGTCAGTTCCCGCCACCTTCGCAATCCTCCTCTTCCATGTCCTCCTCGTCTTCTCGTGCTTACCAGCATTTCCAAAACCAACAACGCCAGCATAGTACCACGTCTTATCGGTTTAATCCTAGGGACGCCGACGACATTTACGCGGAAATTTTTGGGTCGGAGAATGGTGGTGCTGGTGGTGGAGGTGGGAGAAACGGTGCGCATAGGGATGGTTTTTTCAGAACTTCAAATGGTGCGTTTGGTGGAGGGACGAGGAAAGCTGCGGCGGTGGAGACTCTTTTGCCGTGTAGCTTAGAAGAGCTCTACAAAGGTGTCAAGAAGAAGATGAAGATCTCAAGGAATGTCTGTGATGCCTTTGGGTATGCAACTTGATATCTGTATTATTATGAATTTAAGATATCGAATCTCTATTCTACTGGCACCCTAACTTAACCAGCTGATTGGTGTGCATAGGAATGTTTCGTTAAGTTGATTCACATTGCTGTGTTGCAATTTTTAGAAATTATTGTATTCCGTATTTAATCAATAGATATCTAGTTGAAATTCGGGGGTTTGTTGCAAACAATGGTTCTCCTTAGCTTCAGCTTGGGGTAATCTATCTGGTTGTGACCTCGCTTGGAACCGTGGGTTTCGAAAGGTGCAAACTTGACTCTCGTAGTCTGGTCATGATTTTAATGGGACGACTCCGAGCTTTCCTTACTTTAGCACCCTGATTAGGCAAATGTCGTGCAATGTAAACAGAGGAGTCTAGCCACCTCATGCCGCTAGTGTTAAGTGGGATCCTCTGCTGCCAGCTGACCCTTTTCTTCCCCGGTTTGACTTTGCTTGATTTAATTTAACTATTTTGCTCCAAATTTTGGTCGTTTGGAAGCCACTTTATGATTGATCATTCTTGGAGTCAAGTCCGTAGTTCGTTAGGTTTTATGACCCGCAGAAAGTTATTTTTCTTCTTCTCTGACTACACCCAAATAATGTTCCAGATTTATCACGTTACCTGTTGACTGATAACTTACTTAATGTGTAGAAATTTTGGTTTCCTTTCTTCCATAAAGAAAGAAAGAGAAGACATTTCGGAGTCCTTGATTACCATGAAATACGGTTCCATTAACCGTGGAGTTTGGTGATGATGGACGGACTTCCCCTGTAGAACAGTTAGTGAATGTAAATCCCGCAAAATTTTTGCATGAATTTTTTTCAACAAAATTTTGAAGAACCAGATAATTCAAAGTAACTTGAAACATACTGATGTGTATATGAAATATATGAATTTTATTATGGATTGATGCATCATGATTCCTAAAAGACCAAGAATTTCTAACACGAGAAATTTTGCCTTGGTGCCTTAAAAAGATTTATCTTTTGAAGAAAATCACATGATTTCATTGAATGCCTTTGATTCTGTCTGTGGCCTACATGAGTAAAAGTAAAGAAAATAAATAGAAACCGGTGGGTACATGTAATATTCAGGTGTACCGTATCCTAGAATATTGTATTATGTACTTTGTTGAGAAACCAAGGGACATGAAGTACGAGAATAGGAGAACCTTTTCTTTTTGGGGGCAGGGGGGGTGTTATATAGGAGATCCATGACCTGGGTAGGTGAAGAATGGGATGGGAGAGCAATTCGACCCTAGCACATTATTTCACGCCTCAACCTTTGATGGAGGTTTATTCTGGGTCAGCTGTTAGCTTAGTATCATTGACATGGTGTCCTGCAGTCTTAGCTCTGAGTTGGACACAGCTGCTAGGGTTCCTAGCTCAAGGAAACACCTGTGAAGATGTGGAATCTTTGAGTTTAAATATCTAGTTCAAATAAGTTGAAAGTAGTCTTATTTTTTTTTCCAAAATTATTATCTCAGTATGTTTTTGAGTGCTACAGTTTCCAAATTTGGAATTAGTGATGTTTTGGCTTTTCTGGTACTTAACATGCTTTCATATTTCGGTGGGATCTAATCTTGGTAATTAATCTACAGTATAGTGAAATGTTGGGAAATTTATGTTGAGAAATGAGAAAGGCCGTTCTACTCTGGTAGCCAACTTGCTTAAGTTGCTTTTCTGGCACAATATTAGCATCAATCTTGTGCTTCAGATTTGTGTATAAAGAATATTCAAATTGACATCAAATAGTCATATCCTAGTTTACTTATTGACATATACAACTACGCAAGAACTTGTGTTCTGATAATAAGGGACTGATTAAAATTAACTTTCCTATCTGAATGGCTGTAACCCTGTCCACTTTTTGAGGTGTCTATACTAACAGTGTGTGTTTATCATGTACTTTTTAATGGTAAGTAGGTTTGTCTTGGGCTTTGCTTACACTTTGTTGGTAGGTTTGGTTGATAGAATTAGGTATTTTGGTCTTTTATTATGAGTGAGCTTTCAAATCAAACAACTTTTAGCGTGTTTGATTAGTTTTTATTTTGGGATACTTGAAAAGAGGAGGCTTTAAACTGCAAAAATACAAGTCATGAGTTGTCTGATATCCGAAAGTTATGAAAATAAATGTATGATTATGGTCTACTTTACGTTCAGGGGATTGAAAATTCATTTACAGATCCAAAATTTTGGATTACTTTCCAATAAGGAGTTGCACAGGCAGCTTAAATAGTTGAAATACATCCAGGGACCCCGTCAAGGGAGCATTGATTCAGATGTGCCTCGTACTTAGCACTGCACTGGTTTAGGGATGCGCTAGCTTTCAATTATTAGGAGATAGGTTGAGAAAGATATATTAAGATGTTATATTTCACACAATACACTCAAAAACATTTTAGAATTAGATAAAAAAAAAGTAATCCTCTGAGTGGTAGTTATTATCTGTTCGGGACAAACTTGTGACGCCAATTTTCTGATACACTGGAAAGAAAAAACTAACAGGAAAGTAAAGCTACTAAGTGCTTAATTCCATTTCTGGTAGCTCTCAATAAGAGAGTCAGGAGGATAGATCTGGCTAGACCAGTAGTAGAATCAAGGTCTTGTTTGGCGAGCGAATCAGCTCTAGCATTACAATCTCGATCTATCACCTGGAAGTCCACCTGCCTGTTGCGTTCCATCAGAGCCTTCACCTCCGAGATGATATTTCAGGTCCTCATGAGTCTCAGGGGTCTCATTGCAGATCAAACTCGCTGCTTCTGCAGAGTCACACAGACTCGTGACCCTATTTATATTGCATATTACTGGAAAATTATACTGGACAAGTTGATATTATCTGGAACCTTTTATGGCAAAACGTTATATGATTGAAGTGCTCTTCAGAGTGAGATGCAGACCATGTCTTGACTGATATAAAAATTAGGAGCCCATCTTATTTGGTGCATAAGATGTGGCGAGTGGGGTCAGGTATGGCAAAAACTCTGAATTTGAGACTCTAAATATCTTGTTCTGTCTGGCAGGACGGAACTGTTTCAGCTGTTTTTCCCAATATTTTCTGCCCAAAATTGAAGAACTCTCGTATTTGCAAAATGAGTATGTGATTAATTTATTTGCCTCTTCTCTAAATTGATTTTTTCCTTGGGCCCCATGTGTCAAAGGTACTCACGTTGCTCCAAAATTTATTAGCTGCACTTGCATGGTGCGATTTGATTAATCCGTCCTTATTCAGATTAGTAGCTATTGCTGCCCCCTGAATAATTGATACAGATATGGAAGTCTTCTAAATCTAGACATGAAATTTTCCGAGATTATTTTGAGAACTAAATTTAAGAAACAGGCTTAGAATTATCGTTATACCGATGGTGTTGCTGTGATAATCCATTAGACAAAGCTCTACTGGTCTTTCTATCTAAATAAAACGGATATATTAATTTGCTATGTTTGATGTGGGTGTTTTTCCTTTGCAGGAAGTTTAGGAATGTGGAGGAGATATTGACTATCGAGGTGAAACCTGGTTGGAAGAGAGGAACAAAGATTACTTTTCCTGAGAAGGGTAACCAGGAGCCTGGTATCATTGCAGCAGATCTTATATTTGTGGTGGATGAGAAGCCACATGCTGTTTATAGGAGGGATGGTAATGATCTGGTGATCAACCAAGAGATTACTCTTCTAGAGTCCCTTACAGGTAAAACCCTAGACCTGACTACCTTAGACGGAAGGAGTCTCGTGATCCCACTGACCGATATTGTCAAGCCTGGTGCTGAGATTGTTGTCCCTAGTGAGGGAATGCCCATTTCGAAAGAACCTGGGAAGAAGGGCAATTTGAGGATTAAGTTTGAGGTTAAGTACCCGTCGAGGCTAACCCCAGAGCAGAAATCTGAGCTGATAAGGGTTTTGGGTGGGAATGGAATCACAAATGTTTGAGTTTGCTCTCACGGGTGTATGTACGTTGTAAATATATCGTGTGCATGCTGTTGATGAATGTGAATACAAGGAATATTCTACGGGTGAAAGTGTTGACAAGCGGGGCATAAGGTGGATTCATAGTCAGAAAGTTTGGATTTTTCATGCAGCCTGGGGAACATAGCTAACATTTGCAAATGGGTGGGAAGTTTAACCTAATTGGGTAGTTGGTGGATAATCTCCAGTGAGTTTCCACCATTTGGCGCAAGCTCTTTTCTTTTGGGCCTTTTTTTTTACTTTATATTGATGCAGGTACTATTAATCACTAGTATTTATGGAGTTATGTCCTTGGTCATGTTCATATCATGGAAAATGTACATATTGATACGTCATTTTACATTGAGGTTTAATGAATGGTTACTTCTTATAAGACGTGGGACCAGGGCGGGCCTCTATTTTCACTGCCGCGAACCTGGGGTGCATGAGCTGAGGTTTGGCTTCTCTAAGCCCTCCAACAATTGATGGTTAGTTGTGAATGAATCCAATGTTTTATTGCCTCCAACCAAATCACCGAAGCTGAAAGAAGAGATTGAGGTGGTGAGGAGACCAAAGCATAAGCAGTTGGAGCAACAGAAGAGGCAGAAAGTATATACTTATCTGATTCTAAATATAAAACTTATTTTGTAGTGTAAATTGCACTACAAAATAGTTCTTATATTTAGAACCAGAAGAATATATAACATGATTTCTAACATGTATTGTATATGAACTTAAGATAAATATTATTCAGATGACAAGTATATCTAACATGATTTCACTGAAAAATTAAATTGAAGTATTTTAAATTACTAGTAACCTAAAAGGTAAATAAAATTTCGGGAATGAGAAGGGAATGATTTGAAATTTACTTGGGAAATAACGTAACCTTGTTGAATAAACGATGGGAAGGGGCAGCTTTTTGGTGGTCTTTCATTCATGGATGGGCCTTCTCATACTTGAGGCCCATATTCGGATAAGCTTATCCGAATATTAAACGGCTTTCGTAAAAGACATTAATCAGAGACTATAGTTGATTACTCAACGCCAACCCTGACTCGGCATGGCCTGATACGGGTGAAATATACGCGCTAATAATCACTCGTCTTTGCGCTTGAGGATGTCCATGCTCATGTTTTATACTTATCATAAGTCCTAAATACGAGAGTTGGATAATTAATTTGTAAAAATTAAAAAAAAAAAAAAAAGTATGTTGGTCTCTCTCTATAGTACTTTTTTTTTAATTAAACGCATGTATATTAATCGAGATCCAAACCTTGGTTTTCTAGATTGTAAGAGATTAGTTCTTTCTGGTGGACTTAACTCTTATTGATTCTAAAATACCAGTTTTAATCATTTGCATTAGAAATTATTCTTTTGATTTTGATGGAAAATTTTCTTAATATGTACAATTAATAAAAGCTGAGTGTCGAAAATGTCAACCAAAAATAAAGAGAGATTAACTCCTAGAGGTGGTGAGCTGAGCAGGGCGGTTGGGGCATGCGGGGAGGTAGGAACTAGGAACTTGGAAGAAATACATGAAAGTCGAGGTCGCTGTCGGATGAACACACAAAAGGAAACCGGAAGTGGAAGGCCCATCTCTCTGGTCAAATTGGCAGATCCAAAATACGTGAGAGAATTCTTGGAGCGTATGGAGGACGAAGCGACGCTCTCAAGGCTCAGGAGATTGAGCTCTTCGTTTGTTGTCGCGTGTCTCAAAAATGGAGGTTGTGGGCCCACCTACACTTAACTCGGATCATCTTCTCTTGCTATTGGCCCATCTCCCATCTCATCTCTCTCCATCTCCAACTCACAATCACAAATACCTAACCACATCACACGCGCGCGCACAAGCTCACCTCACCTCACCTCAATTCCCACCAAACTCACCAAAAACTGCTGCTTTTTTCTCAAGGTTAAGGTGTAAATAAAATCATGATGTATTCTTTTTTCCCATCTTGTAAAGTTCCTTTCAGCCTAACATTACACTTTACACATCAGCGTTCTTAAATTAAGCAAGAATATCTTCAGTCCAAAAAAAAAATTAGGCAAGAATATCATGTCTATTGGATTTAACTAGCATCCATTACCATTCCAGTCATTGATATAAGTGGGCTTATAACACACTTTTTACCACTGCCAAATACATTAAATTGTCGAAATTTTCTAATTTTATCATTATTAAAGTTTTTTAAATATTTATGAATCATTCTCATGTTTTTTGCTTCTTTATCTCTTTTTAATGATTCATAAGTAATTTTAAATATTTAAAAATAAAAGGAAATCTGTTATATTAATTATTAATAAAAATATTAATTATTAAACTTTAATAATGATCCTTAAATATATTATAAGTGATTTATATTTAAGGTCAAAGTTTTTTTTTTCCCCAAATGACTTATATTTAGGGACAGCAGCATCTCATGACGCTTGTACCTTAAGTGGGCTTTAAAGGTGAGGACTTCCACTCTCTTTTCTGCTGAGATTTTTAAGTCGGCAAATCTCGTTGTGTGGGCGAACAGCGTTGTTTTAATTCAAACCTCAGATTTGAAATAAAAGCTTTCTTAGACAAGCAGCAAAAACGACACCTGTTTAAAAATAAAAGGAAATCTGTGCTGATAAGTAATTTTATTTTTATATAAAAATATTATCATACGGCAAAATGATCCAATCTGCCCTGAAAAAGGGGCGTGCCATGAAGATACGGATACGGCTTCCGCAGCCGCCCGCCAAAAAAACGCCCCTCACACCAGTATGTTGGCGTGCCGTCAGTTAAAATCTGTGAGAATTCCAACTGTACTTATATTTAGTATTTAATAGTATTTTGAATAGGATTGTTTCTAATAAAAAGACATGTATATCTAAAAAAAGAATTAGTAGGAATTCTATCTATTTCAGTCTTGGACATAGTTAGAAATATTCCTAACTATTTCAGTCTTGGAAATTTTCAAGTTTAAATGAACGTATTTTACTATTGATTATTTTGATTTATTTCTAAAATTGACTTATCATCAATTATACATTCATAGTGTACAAAAATAAAGTTATTATAAGATAATCAAAATTCAAATTATCATTTAAAAATGCTAGATTCAAACACAGAATCTCTTCTAAGCATAACAGGTGGTGTTGCTAACAAATACCGTGTGTTCAAATCATATTATGAGTCTGTTTGGGAGGTCTTAAAAAATTTCTTATAAACATGTTTCATGTAAGTTGAGATAAATTTTTTTTTATATACTTGCCTCGTATTTCGTAAATTATTATTGAAAAGCTACTTATAAGCTATTCCAAACGAGCCCTATATTTACGTTTTTTTTTGTGTGGGGCCCAAGTAAATTCGGATGGGATACTCTTCAAGCACTTGAAAAATAATTGCGAAGCTACTCTTATAAAAAAAAAATTGTGAAATTGTTATGGTTTGATGTTAAATTGCAGTCGAAAATGGGAATATGAGACTGGGAAATGATCGTCGATAAAATGAGAGTGATATAGATTTTCAGTATTATTCACACCAAAAAAGGAAAGACAGAGAGTCACAATTGGAATGAATAGGAACGGGGGCCACAAGAAGATGATACTGGCGGGGAGGGAATGGAGAGGAGCAGGAAAAGACAAAGATGCTGGGGAGGGACAGTGAAGGGAGGCAAGGTTGTCTCTTTTGCAAAGGAATCACGTAATCTTCTTTTCCTTCTTCCATGACACGGCTCTCCCCTCTCAATACTCTCTCCTCCAATATTACTTTCCTTTTCAACAATCCAATCTCTCTCTCTCCCCCCCCCCCCCTGTCTTTTCTCCTACGAACATGCTCTATAATATAAACGGAGGGGTAAATTGTTATTTTCTTAGAAACTATATGCATTAAATAGGACTAAAATTAAAATGTTATTAAGTTTTGACAGAGTCAGCGAGATTTAGAGTTTTGTTCAGTAAAACACGTTAATAATAACTTATAAATAAGATTAGAAAAGAATATTTACACGCATGTATGTAAAATGATTCATTGGAAGCAATCAACATTGACCAGCAAATGAAAGAATGCTTGATTGGCCGTTTAGTTTGGAAGAGTCTGTAGAGGGTGGAACAATAATATACATATGTGCGCGCGTGCACAAGGCGCGTGTTTATGTATTACTTCCGGTTTTTAATATAATATCTTATTTGACTTTTATTTTAATCCTAAATATAAGATCCTAATTCTTTTTATTTCTCATATTTGTATTTTTTTTTTTGAGGCAGTCATTCTCATAATGGTAATTTTAACTAATACACTTGATTAGTAAGGATATTTCAGAAAAGATAATAGTTATTTATTACAAATAATTAATTTAACTATTTTTTTAATCTCTTTAAATTAGTCAACTAGTTTTTATATTTAAGATTAGAAGTAATATATGTGTGCCAGTGCGTGCGCGTGTGTGTAGCATATGGGCTGATATTGGGTGGAATATGCGTTTTAAAAGATGAAAGGCCAATTTGCGAGCGATGAAATGGAAACAGTGAGGAGGATTGACAGCGAAAGTATTCAAAAAGCATATCATTATTAATTAACATTAGAAAAGCCTTTTGCTTTGTGGGTGCATATCCATGTCTTTCCCCCCTTGTTTTTTTGCCTTCCCACTTTTCCTTTTATTCGTGCATGGTGGCGCTGTGAAGGTCAAAAAGAAATCATGCATGGTGCTATCCAACCCCGTAGCCTTTTTAATAAAGAAAAAGATTTTTACAAGGGGAAAAAAACAGAGTGTGATTGTAGCTGATATCCACTTTTATCATCATGTTGCATTGTTGCTGTATTTTTGAAGTTGGAACACCAAATCAAACATAAGGTACGGAGAAAATCGAGAAAAACAAAAAAAAAAAAAAGAAAGAATTTTTTTTAATAATAATGGTAAAAACTTTTAATTTTTTTATCACTTTTTATCTTATATATTCTTCTTATTAAAATTTGAAAATCTTACTTTTTTAAAAAAAAAATTGAGCTCATTTCTTCCTTTCTCCTCCCCTCTTCTCTTGTACCAAATATATGTAAATCATCTAAATTAAATATGGGCAATTCATATTGTGAAGTGAATCACCTCAATTAACATAGATACGCCTTTATTTATGATTTTGGCGAAAAATATGTCGCAAAAAATATCTCTATGCCTTAAACATCATTTTGGGAAGAGTCGTTTTTTTTTTTTTTAAGGTACTCATTGCTCATCCAGTGATATTAATGGGTAAAAATGCAGTTTAGTCTTTTTTGAAAAGGATCCCACCTTGAATCCGCACGCTGTAAAATGAAGGTCTTGTTCGTTTTTTTACCCTCAAAACAATTTTATAAAATTGCTTTTTAAAACAAGTTTGAGAATTAAAAAAATAAAAAGTATGTTTGAATAATTATTTTAAAAAATCACATTTAAAATGAAAAAAATCATATCTGGCAAGCAGTAGCCGGAGATGATATGTGGCGAGCGGTGTTTTTCCAATTTTTTAAAACAAGAAATATAAAATATAAAAACAAAAACAAAAAATGTAAAAAAATTTTATTTTTTTAAATTTTAAAAACAACCAACTAAAAAAAATTGCCAGCAAGGTTTTTTTTTTTTTTGTTCTAAGAGACAGAAATTAATTTTAAAACAAGAATGCTGTGCCCGAAAATTTTTTCCTCGCCGTCACGACGGACCCAGGAGGGGCGCGTGCAGTCAGCACAATGACTTCACGAGCGTGGTCCTACACTCCTACGTGATTTTTTCCATATCAAATCGTATCAGAGTGG